AATACCCTAACATGACCATTATTAAGCAAATTAAACGATATTAGTAAGATTCACTTACTTTTATATGTTAATGATCCTAGACTACAGCCACTTTTTGTTACTTTTGTTATTGTTTCAATATACATTCGGGTTGATTGTGAAAATATTTTTGCTTTAAGTCGCCTTTGCATTGGTTTTGATAGTAACGAAATAAACAAACTCAGATATACCATGACCATTATTAAGCAAATTAAACGTTATTAGTAAGATTCACTTACTTTTATATGTTAATGATCCTAGACTACAGCCACTTTTTGTTACTTTTGTTATTGTTTCAATATACATTCGGGTTGATTGTGAAAATATTTTTGCTTTAAGTCGCCTTTGCATTGGTTTTGATAGTAACGAAATAAACAAACTCAGATATACTTTTTAAACTGTTTTATTCAAGATATCAAATCACAACAAAATACTTTCACCCGAACCTTACTATTCTAGTAGGGATTATCGCAATTAAGTATAATGTATATATTTTCTGGTACTTGCAAAATTATTTTTTAACACTTTTCTATTTCTGGCATTGTAGTTATGTTAATAGTGCGGTGTGGTAGCGCAAAAACAACTCTTATTCCTTTTTAGTGTTCTTTGCAACTTATTTATGAGAAAAGGGAGCACTTCTTCAACATGGCTATTGTATAGCAGATTTCTCGCTCTAATATTTAATTGATGAGAAGACCGTCTAGCGGCTTGCATAACAGGCGTAATTTTATTAATTGTACTGTGTGCTGTCCAATTTAATTTACGCGATATGATCAGTCCGACGTTTTTGTATTTAGTGATTTCTCTCAGATGTATGCTATTCAGCTTAATGTTCCGTTTAAAGATTGCCTTTTAAATTTGGTTATTTTCATTTACACAGTTTTTTCTACATACATATTTATACACAGTATCAAATGCATTTTTCAAGTCAATAGACATAGCAATATCATAGTTGTTTTTGTCTATTTGTCCTGAAATCTAACCCAAAGATCAGTAGATCTCATTATACTGATTCTCATCAATGAAATTACTCAATCTAATTTTTATAACTCTCTCATGAATCTTCGAAAAGATATTGAGCAGAAAGGTTGGATGGTAATTGTCCAAGTTTTCTGGAGCTTTGAGATTTGCAGTTATATATCATTTCATCATCCCCTAAGAGTTTCTCTGCTGTTATGTATTGCACTATATCACCATATGAAAAACCATAAAAGTTTCTAGATATATATATATATATATATATATATATATATCTAGAAACTTTTATATATATATATATATATATATATATATATATATATATATATATATATATATATATATATATATATATATATATATATATATATATATATATATATATATATATATATACATATATATATACATACATATACATATATATCAAGTTATTTATACCTTTGAATCCCAGTCATTAAGGTGTGTGGCATTTTTTATAATACGCCTTTTAAGACTGTCAGTTCTTGCACTTTCATAGCCTTAAGAATAAGAATAAAGAATAAGAATACGTAGGCAACTTAATGGATACAACAGCTTTGGGTTTGTTTTAGTTATCTTTTTGTCTTTCAGGAAATACAAGGCTAAAAAATAATTAATTATGCGAGAAAATGAAGTATTTTGTAAAGTTTATTACCAATTTTAGATATTCGACACAGAGGCTAGTTTTTCGAAATGGGACTAAAAGTGCTTCATTCGAACTGAAGTTGATTTCAAGAATATTAATTCTAAAGGCGGGAATATGAACGTCGTTGTAGTAAGAATAAGTTTTTTTTTGCAAAAGAACGTTATATCTGTTTTCTTCAGTTAGAAAGAATTAAATTATTAAGTGATTCCGACATAGTTCAATGTTATCTGCCTGGATCATATATCGTATATTTTAAATGAAAGAAACTTTAAAAATTGTTATTGTATTGCATATAAACGTTGTATTGTGGAATTCAAATCTTGCCACCAAAATGCTACGATGTTTAGAAAAAGGTCATTTTCATCACAGAAGTGCTTCAGGATCGCTATGACAGTCGAGTTGAAAATGAAAGTTTATAAAATAAAATAAACAAAATTTTTCAAAAGCGGTGCTTTCAAATAAAGGTAATAGACATTTGTGAAGATTTTTCATTTATCAAAATATAGGTATTCAATACCGAAAGTCATGCTACGTACAATGAAAAATATCGACATAAGCAAATATTTCAAATTTACACGGTTCTTGAAGAAAAAGCCCCTATTGTAAAAATAAAAGGCGATAGAAAATAATTAATAGATATTTAAATCAAAGGTCAAAGTTAGCAAAGAAATAAAAGCTGCTTTGTCATTGAATATATTGAATATATCATTAGGTATCTTCGAAGCAACATTTACAAAATTGGCAAGTAAACAATGAACGCGAAAATATTGTAATGTTTTCGGTTGTTCTCTTTAATCTTTTTTAATAGTTATTTTTGAAAATTGCACCTTACAAAGCAAATACCCCGACAACAATTGTGATGAAGGTGCCAAACAACCAAAAACTGTAAACATGATACCGGCGGTCGTTGCCTCAAGCCGACTTTCGTAAAATATACTACTTTTAAATAGCCCAATATAAGTAAATCTCCGTTAATTTGAATCACGCAGTTCGGTCGGTCAGTTAATACCACAACAATAGTACTTTCACCCTGATTTACGATCCTTCTTAACTGTAGGTACCAGACGTAGTGTTCTATTGTGTTCAGTTATTATATAGACCAAACCAGCCCTGACCATTTCAGCCACTGAACGGTAAAATTTATAAACCTTCAAGGAATTAACAGAGATTTTTGACAGACTTTCGTTGCGAGAAATGCAATTTCTGAGAAATATTTTCGCGCTAACCACATTTTTGGGCTTCCAAATGTTTGGACGCCGAATGAGACCAAGTCAGAAATTCTCACATTTTATTTTATCGAATTTTTTTAAAAAGCTAACAACAGTTCATCAGGTAGAATGTCTAAAAAGAGCATGCACTTACTGGAATGAGTATAACGTATAAAATTATTTACACAACATGTGTGTTTGAATTTGGTAATTTTTGGTAGATGTGACAGGTTTTTATTTTTTCAATAAATTTTTGTCAACCAAAAAATGTTCAATTTTGCTTAAATTTATATAAAAAACATCAAGATATCTTAAAAACCACATCTACTGGGGGACTATGAATTTCGTTTGATAGGCATTCTAGCAATTCTTTTTTACTTACTTAGGAAATTTCAAGATGCCGAATAGGAAAAATAATTAAGAATATGCTAAAATTGAAATGCGTGTTTATCATTTATCATAAAAAAACGCCTAAGGGCAGTGATGCAAAAAAAAGCTGGCAGAGGAGCAACATAAAGCAGACAAGTCGACTCAAAATGTAAATGACAAACAGCAACAGTAAATAAATATCTTTTTAATTTCTTATAATTTCTTCTCCCTGAGATTTTCGTAATATGTTGCTAAGAATGGGCATTCTGTCCAAGACCCAATATTAAAATTTTGAATTTGTTTTTACTTTCGGTCAACTGTAGAATCTTTTGTTTGTTTCATTCAATTTTTTCAGATTTTTAAAAATATATCGTCTTTTTAGTTTTTTATGTAAATTCCTATGATGATGACGTCAATTACTACTATAGCCATTAATTAATTTTTAAATTTCTTTTTTTAGCTTAGTATGTTGTTGTAGATATGATGTTATCATATACTGTGTCCGCGAAGTCCGTGGAACACGATCTAATAAGTAACAATATATATTGGCAAACAAAGTTAAATGTGCTAATTCTTCTTGACAACTCAGATGTGATGTGATAAAGATGTGAAATGAGGATAATGTCAAAAGCTTTGCTAAAATCAAGTCTTAAAAATGTCATCTGATTGAATCTGGCGTACTGTAAATATTGAAAAATACTCTTATTTGATTGTCCATTATTTTCTTTAGGGAGTGTAGACAGAATACTAATGAAACGCAAATGAACAAACTCTGTGGGTTTTTAAATTTTAGCCAGGGGTATAACTTGTGCTTGTTTCCACAGTACAGGAAAATATGAGGACATAATACATTCATTAATTATCTGGACAATATGCTGTACAATTGTGGGGCAACCAAGTTGTACTAAAGTGATATAAATACCGTCGCTTCCAGTTAAGTTAAGCAAGAACTAAACTGTTGATTAATTCCATCAATAAAGCTATTTTCATTGAAAAGTTTGGAAAGTTAAATAATCTCACAATTCCTAGATGTTCGTTATCTGGGCATTTTTTTGTATTCATTTGTCGGTACAAAAGTGTATTGCTTAGATCGTTCTCGTTCATCGAATCCTGTACTTATTTGTTGCTCCTTGAATATTTACCCAGGTGGTAAAGTAATGATTATGTTCCGACTAACCTAAAATTCTTTGTGCGGGATCTAATGGGTTGGAGGGATTGCAAAGCGCTGCTTGACCAAGAGTTTCGCACGCTAATTTGCAGAATACCAGAATAACCAAAACTACCTTAAAGTAGAAAAATATTTGACTCGCGAAGGGAAAGAAAAAGTCTCTCAGAAATAAAGGAGATAAAGTACAAATGGATTTTTGTTACACTGTCAGGGCATGTTTATACGACTAAAATTTCATCAATATTTAAATTATATGCCAAAACCAAAGCAATTCCTAAATTAAATAACAAGAAGCCAGAAAGCATTAATAAAGACGTTAAATTTAAGAATGAGCAAAAACATATAATTAGAGAGATGGGGACGGACCAAGCATGGTGACTTCTCCTCTATTATGCCTTATTAATAGAAATTCTCTCTGCTCTTTCGCTACAAACTAACGGTTTTATTCAACACAATGATTACATCTATACTGTAGTATGCGAAAGTAAAGCCTATTTTTTTAAAAGTTTTTGCATCTTACAATTATTATTGTTATTAGTATTAATATTTTTGTATATTTATAAATAAATATAAATATAAATTGTATACTTACTTCACTAAGTCTGCACAGAGCGATAGTGGTAGCTGACAGCAACTACTCTCCTGACTTCTGCAACCTTTCCTGAAATAAAAAACAACAATCAAACGCTAGAAGAGGAGTGGAGAAATAAACAACTACACGAAAGATACGCAGGGGCTTTGCATGGCGGTGAGGTTGACGAGAGGTTGTCCACTCTATATGTTACCGAGAGGAATCTGAGACCTGAAACAGAGGAATTTATTATATATATTATTATTATATATTATATTAAGTATATCCAGGAAAAGGACTTAGCCTGTGACCAGTGAAGCATGTGCGGCACAGCAATCTATTCAGCATCTGTCGCCTGGGTGCCCAATCCTCACGCTAAGGGACTACATGGAGCGGCACAACAGAGTCTGCAAAAAATATAATCTGATTAATACAATAACACCCTTTTATAAATGCTTACCTAAAACTATAACGAGGAACGAAAATATAAAAATTTTCAACAGAGAGAAGAAATACCCGAATATTTTTGACATCATCAAAATAGCGAGAAATGATAAATCAGATAAGTACCAGGAATCGGTCCTGGAAATGAAAGACATATACGAGTTAAACTCTGTTAAATTTATATTGCGAATGGCCTAATTGACAAGTAGCTCCCCAAATTTCTAAAGGAAGCTGAACTGCCGGTCTCGAAAACAATTACAGGTCTTGCCCAGAGAGCTACAATTCTAGCAGCACAATTAGAAGAGTTTTGGCTCGTGAATAAAACATAGATTAAGCATAGTCCCGTTTTACTCGAAATACACCGACGCAAGTGATGATTTATTATTTTTATTATTAGTATTATTATCATTATTCTTGGGCGGCACGCCAGTATTTGATGTAGTTCTCGTGCTCCGCTAGTATGTATTCCGGCCATGCATCCAATGATCAAAACCACAAGTTTTACTGTGTGCCCAGCATAAATTTGTCTAAAGTCTTCTAGTAGCTCTTGAAATTTTTGTCTCTTTTTCTGCTCCTTGTTTACTATGTTTTGATCACCAGGAGCCGAAAATTCAATCACGAATAATTGCTTCGCTCGATGATGCAACAAAACTAAATCGGGTTTATTAGCGGTTATTTTATGCAATGTTGGGAACGCCTGCAATAAAAATACAGCTTTCGAAAGGCTGCGTTATGTATTCCATAATGAGAACACGGCGATAGTATATGTATTATCGTCTCGGGTCGTTGTTTGCATGCTCTGCAATTATTATTATTATTATTATTATTATTATTATTATATTGTCTGGATGTTCACGCAGAGTTTTGTGGTGTGGAGATACCAGTGCTTAATCTTATTTTAATCAATGTTTATCGCTCTGGCTCTAGAGGCAATTTTTCTATATTTGTAGAAAAACTTGAACTCTTGCTCGCTGAAAGCTTAATATTTTGACCTTACCATCACTATTTATTTACTATACAGTCACTCTCATACATGAGCTAAAGAACGATATGCCTAAGCACTGTGATCGCCACAATCACTACACCAGGGGATCTGAATTAATTGTCCAGGGTCATTCTAGGCTGCGCACATCCGAGTTAAATAAATTGTACATTAATTACTACAATGTTCTATAAACCGTTGTCAAGGATCTGCCATTCACTAAATTTTGTAATATAATAAAACAATTTCTATTGGAGAACGCATTCTATACTGCAGATGAGTACATCCGTGTTGTGTCACGAGTGTCTCCATAATACTAATTGGGAATTTATTTATTTATTTATTTACTTATTATTTTTTTTTTACCTAATTTTTGTTTCAATGTTTGGTGTTTGTCTATCTAATAATTATGTTGCTCTCTATGAATGTTATTAGAATGTGTTTGATATTGTGACTTGCCATTTGTTGTTCTTGTAATGTATTTAATGGCCAATAAAGTCTAAAGTCTAAAGTATTATTATTATTATTATTATTATTATTATTATTATTATTATTGTAAGTATTGTAAGTAACAAACCTCCCTATTATAATATTTGCAAAATCGAATCCAAATATAACTCCTGCCACATACCAAAAACATAATCATTGAGTCACGTTGGACGTGTTTTTCTAACTCGATTACTGAGCCGTTAGCTTAATTAACGAACGCGCATTTATTCCTGTGGTATCAGAAGCGGAAATTAAGTAGTTTACCGACAAGTAAAATTGTTTTCGACCGTTCTGCGGCAGTATCGAAAACAAAATTTGGTAACGTGCTAGATAGCGAAAGGTGCGATGAACTCGTCGAGCTGTAACACATTCGATGATGTCGCTCCTTGATTTTATCCGATTAGGTGGTTTCTGAGACACCAGATTAACTGCACCGCAATGAGAGTTGTGTAATTTTTGTTTGGTTTCCTTTTGCTCTAATTTAATTAAAAAAAAATTAACAGGAATTCTGAAAAAATCATCTAATGGAAATGCTAAAATTCCAACACCGCCAAAAATTCACAAGGGCGCAGAATTTCATTACGAATCTCGGCAGATCTTCAACTTTATTTAGGAAAAAATTAAACGCGACTTTGCCGACGAATTTCACTTATTCCTCATCCCAGCTCTGCTCGGACCACACGCAGACCCTTATACTACTAAACATTTTTCTCACGACATTAAACGAGCCTGATAGAAAATTTATTCACTTTTACGATTCTCTTTCATTATCTCGCGCGGTGTTAAATAAAAAATTAAAACTATAAAAGTTTTGTGTACTGTCGGTTGATTCAAATATTTTGCTCTAAAGACGTCGGAAATACGTGTCGGGCACCTTCACTGTCGCGAACTGATACGATCATGATCAAATTATGATAAGAGAAGCTTCTAATTATAAGGTCAATTGACTCTAGGTGTAATCACGTTTATTTAAGCAGCGAACAACCTGCGAATCCACTCATAACGCGCCAATAAACATGTTTTTCTTGGTGTAGCTGGCTTGAGTTTTCAACAGAGATGACGCAATTGCTTGTTAATAATTTTGAAGAAATTGCCGGTTTGGATTGAGATAAAAATTTCGAAAAACCAGTCTTATTTTTTAAACCTTTTTCACATTTTTTAAACGCAAAGCCCTGACCCTTAGTTAAGGAAACTATATTGTGTTTAGGTTCTATTTATCTATTTATCTGTTTTTTTCATTTCGGTGGTCAACATAGTATACAAACATTAGCATTTACAGAGTATACATAAATATTGTATAACTATTACTAGCTAATAATTAGAAGAAGGTTTACATAAAAATTTAGTAAATTGATTAACCAAATAAAAACAAGAGAAAAGAAGAATAATAGAAAAGTATCATATAGTATAATAACAGCTAGTTTTCTAGTAGAATTAAGATTTAGACCAAATATAGGGATTGTAGTTTTGTTGCATTTAAGCGAATGATGAGTTTTCTGTGTAGTTGGTAACATGAAATAGATCTTTTGTAACTCAGTTTTATTAATTGAGGGCGTCTATGACCTGCTTCCTACTAAAAGTAATTTAAGTTCGGATAGAATTTGAATACAATATTTTTTTAAAGTGCTTTCTATTCTGATTATGTATTTACCAAACCAAACCAAACCATATCGAACACGCGTATTTCAAGTTTTACCTGACAACTGTTTTATATAAAATAATCGCACATTTAGAAGTGTTGATATTACTAGAACCAGCATTACAAATCCTAAGTATGTTATTCTTGATTCTAGTAAAGGATATTATACAGTATACAGTAAAATTATTACGTTTCAAGTTCAAAAATTGAAAGAAACAGAAGCAAGTCAATGGAATATTATTTCCAACATGCAGTGAAAATGTGTACCAGATCTCAACATTTTCATGGAAATTTTGTATTTCTAGTTCAAGCACAGTATATTATTTATGTTATTTATTTTTATTTTTTATTTATTTATTTATATTATTATACAAAGCTATTTTTGCTGGTTCACATCAATGGTTATTTTTTTATTCAAGTCTGATAGCCAGTTTCTTTTACTTTGCCCAAAAAAATAAAAGTACGGAAAAAAACAATTTAACGTAACATACAATATTTCAGCACTTTTTTATTCCTTTATTTGTTTGCTTACAAACACCAGAGGTATAATTGGCAACTTCGGCAGCACACTACCTCATACTCAAACACACGGGATTATGTACAACATAGAACAGAAATAAAAGTAGGTTACTTGCTAATAACATATCAATTACATGTGTGCCCTGTAAAATTTTGCGCAGTTGTGATATAGTTACATTAAAAAAATCAACTGTATTCTGATTGTTATCAGCTATTCTATACATTACATTGGTGGTTTCTGGTTCTGTAACTGGGGACATTACAATTTATTTGTGACAGTAAATTTATACCATCAATTATGGTATATTGGCATGGGGAGAAGCACATAACTGTCATCTAGACTATCTAAAAGTAACACACGCACTTTACTGTGGTGTTATACTTGAAATTAGTTTGTATATAATAACTGCATGTGGTTTTGTCTAATATAATACCTGCTAATTTATGTAACATTAAAAAAGGAAAACGATTTGTGTGTTTTAACTTCGGAACTATGGCCAAGTTAAACTCTTATCAGTGAACTAATCACACTTTTCAAGTTATTTTATAGTTTTCGATATTATTAGTTGGGGTGCCTTACTTTTCTTATTTTTTGTTATATTTTTGGTATAGTATAATTTTTCCTGTATTCTTCTTTTTTATTTTTTAGGATATTGTTTCAATGTTTTCAAAATTTTTATTGTAGTCTGGTTATTGTTGATTGTTATTTAGACTAGTATTTATACTTCTGTGACGACAGAACTCTGGACAATTACGCATATACAGGTATTGCTATACCTAGGTAAATATATTAGTAAAGTGGATAATTTATAAGGTTTTCTATGTAGTAATTCTATTGTATAGATAAATTACACAGGTCTACAGTGATTTTGATATTTGAAAGCTGTTTGCGTATTTGTTTATATTTGAGGATCTTTTTTCCAAAAAATGCCATATTTTTGCTCTATCATGTCATTTTTTTTAAACGCTCTATAGCTTAAAAATGTTATTTTATTAATATACATACCTATGACATGAGTTTGTTCCATTTTAGGCATGCTTTTTAAATGAATTTGATGATGATGATGATGAATGAATGAAATGTTTCAGCTTTGGTGCTCCTATGGTATGGCGAGAACCTAGGAATCTCAATGAAGATTTTCATTTTTGTTCGTTTAATATTCACAACGATCAATGTCGAGGTAAACGCTTGGGTTTCATTTAAAGAAGTAATTGATAAGTTTCCTGGAATCTCTAAGGACGAAAATATTAATACGTGTTTCAAAGTGTATTTCCTGTTTGCACACTTGAACTGTTTTCCTGAAAATCTCTGAGCAGTTAGCGAATAACAGGGA